CGCCTTCCGCGCTGCATCGTCCCCTGCGCCGGGGGATGCGACCGCTCGGAGGAAGGGGACGCCCCGGGTCTCGGCACCTGGGAAGCCGCCGCGCTCGTCCCCGCTGATGGGTCCTCTGTGTGTGTGTGTCTTTCAGAACCGCCCCTCGCCACGCCAAAATGCACCGAACAACCAGAATCAAAATAACCGAGCTAAACCCCCATCTCATGTGCGTGCTCTGCGGCGGGTACTTCATTGATGCAACAACCATCATAGAGTGCCTCCACTCCTGTAAGTACGATCGGGCGCTCCGCGTTGTTCCCCCGCCGCTTCCCACCTTTCCCGGCATCCTGGGAACACACACACACACACACACACACACACACACACACACACACACAAAAACCCAAACAAAAAAAAACCCAACCAAGCTCAAACCCCCTGAGATGTCCGGGACCACCGCCCCTCCGCCTCCCCGACGGGCTGGGAAGTCAGTGGCCCGGCTGCGGTGCAGTTTTTTCTGACGACTGCCCTACGGTCTTTGTTAAAGTAATAATATATGTACTCTAAGCGTCTCCTTTTCATGGTAATTGCCGCTTATTTGGGTATTTGTTTAGCTTAAGCAGCGCGTTGCTGACAATGGACGATTAGCTGTAGCTTGCATGGTTTAGAAAATCGCACCTCGATCTGTGCATATCTGTGCGGTCACCTACGACCATCACTAAAAGGCTTTCGTGTTTGATTTCCAGTCTGTAAGACCTGTATTGTGCGTTATTTGGAGACCAGCAAGTATTGTCCTATCTGTGATGTCCAAGTTCACAAAACTCGACCGCTTTTGAATATAAGGTAGGAGAGAGATGCAATGCGACCCCGGAATTCCTTGTTTTACTTTATATGGGCAGACCAGCGGTAGTCGTGTCGATGTTATCTCTTCGTCTGCAATTTAAATCTGAAAGGACTTGTCAATTTACAAGCTAACTCGTGTGTATGCTCTTTCTTTGGAGTTTAGTCATTGATGGAAATTGAAGATTTCTCTGGATGCAACACAGAAAGTTTTTGTAGGTCTTTTTTGCATATGCTACCGGACGCTTCTTCCCTCTCTCCCATTCCCATGTGTACCATCCCAACAGGTTTTACCTCCACTTTCTATTTCTCTCAGAGATGCTTCACTTCAGACCTAGTTCCATAGTCATGAAAACTCCTGCTTGAACTTTTCAAGCTAAGAGGGAAAAGCCTTTAAAGCATGCTTCTCATTTGAGAAATATTTTTGGGTGACTGTTACTTTTTACTCTTCATTTTCTAGGGAGGGCATGTAGCTAAGGCCTTCCTTCAGTCGGGAAGAATTATTTTTAAGTTGTGGCAGGACAGATGAGTTTTGTTTTATGGCAGCATTTAGAGCACTGTTAGTTTGATTACAAGCTCTTGTAAGTTAACTTTTTATGACTAGCCTCCCACTTTGTAGAAGATGCCCCATTGTTGTGAAACATTACAAATTAGGAGCTGCCACTTGGATTAAAATATCTCTTAATCTGCTTAATTTAATGTTTTGGGATTGCTCTTTTTTCAGGTCAGATAAAACTCTCCAAGATATTGTATACAAGCTAGTACCAGGCCTTTTCAAAAGTAAGTAGTTAAACTGGATTTTTTCTTAAGAGCAGAAAAACAAAAGCAGAGCTGCTATCCTGTGTCAGTACCAGGAGTTCCAGATTACCTACTAAAAGAAAAAATTATGTTTTTCCATCTAGATGAAATGAAAAGAAGAAGGGATTTTTATGCTGCTCATCCGTCAGCTGATGGTAAACTCTTCTCATCTGTAACTTTAATAAATGTACCATTGACCTAGACGATTTGCTGTTTCCTTTTTAACTTATTAAATTTAAATTACGTATTACCATGACAAAACTTTAATAAGTAAATTCAGCATAATAGAAGTTGATTGTTTTAACAGTTAGGTAGCTTTAATTCATAATCTTACTATGGAGATTTTTTTTTCCTGTTACTGACAATTGCCATTCTTCCTGATTTGAATTTCAAAATGTAAATTATTGTGGAAATTTCTGCGCAGCTGCCAATGGCTCTAATGAAGACAGGGGAGAAGTGGCTGACGAAGACAAAAGAATTATAACAGACGACGAGATAATAAGCTTATCCATTGAATTCTTTGACCAGACTAGGCAAGTTCCAGAATGTTTTATATTTACCTGACTGATAGCTGCTATATTTATTACTTGTAGTAATTGTTTCATTTTTTTCTCACAGACTGGAACGAAAAGGAAATAAGGAGAAAGAAAAATCAAAGGAAGAGGTAAATAACTTTTCCTTACTCTAGAAGAAACCTAATGTACATACAAACATCTCTGGGGAAGGTTTGTGGCTGAAAAAAAGTACATAGGTATCTGTACTTAGAACAAAAAGCAGCACACCTCCTGTTATGGCACTAGGTGCAGAAGAGGTCAAACATCTTCATACCAATGTGTATGTAAACAAATTTAAAAAATAAAAAATACATGTGGTATTACTTTTAAAGTGGAATCTGATATTTTGTCAGATATTGCAACAGATTATTTATTAATTACAAAATTGAATATACATTATATATTCTTAAGATATATTTTGCTGTGAGATAAAAATCTTTATGTATAAAATTAATTGCATTTTTTAATGCTTTCTGTAGAACTGTAATTTATCACTTGTTTCTGTTTTTCCTTCTAAGGCAGAAGAAATTGTCATATTATACTTAATAATTTTATTAAAGTGCATTTTTTTTAAATGACATAAAATGTTAGAATACAGCTTTGGTGAAAGTAATTGCTTGTTCTCAGTAGACTGATTTTCTTTATTATGCTGCCAGGTGAATGACAAAAGATACTTACGCTGCCCAGCAGCAATGACAGTGATGCATCTAAGAAAGTTCCTGCGGAGTAAAATGGATATCCCTAACACTTTCCAGGTAACCTATTGGGAAAGACTGATTTTTTAAATTTATTTTTTTAAATTCTAAGCCTGCTGATGCTTGGTTAGGATGCATTTTCTCATTATAGCCAGTTCCAGCAAGTGCTAACTCCCAATATTTCTGGTGTGTGCAATATGTTGGTGAGGTTATGAACTTTATTTTGAAAATATTTATCCAGAGACTTTGGTGACAGTCTGCAATTTTTTAATGCTGTAAATATGAAGGAGTCAAGCAGTTTCTCCATAAGGTATTTTAAAACATATCTAGTACTTTTGAAAATTCCCTATATATTTTTCAGTTGTCTGATCTATATGGCAGCAAGGCTGCTTTCACCTCAGCACAAACATATGTTGGGGTAAATGCCTGGCTGCTGCTTAATGCGAGGATTCCTGTCTTTACCAGATCGATGTGATGTATGAAGAGGAGCCTCTGAAGGACTACTACACCCTAATGGACATTGCCTACATATATACCTGGAGGCGGGTGAGTATCTCCAGTGTGCCTCCTTCCGGGGGGTGCGGGTCGTGGCGCGGGGGAGGGCGCTCACCAGGGTCTCCCCTTTGCCTTGCAGAACGGGCCTCTCCCCCTGAAATACCGGGTCCGACCTACTTGCAAGAGGATGAAGATCAGTCACCAGAGGGAAGGCTTGAATAATAGCGGGGAGCTGGAAAGTGACTCTGGGAGCGACAAGGCGAGCAGCCCAGCAGGAGGCATCCCCTCCACCTCCTCCTGTTTGCCCAGCCCCAGCACGCCAGTCCAGTCTCCTCACCCCCAGTTCCCCCACATCTCTAGCACCATGAACGGCACCAGCAGCAGCCCCAGCAGTAACCACCAATCCTCCTTTACCAACAGAGCGCGGAAAACATCGATAAATGGCTCCTCGGCCACTTCATCTGGTTGATGAGCCAACCAGGCTACCGCCCCCACCCCTCCTTTATATAGATCTCTCCATGCCATTACAGCTTTATAGATGCTAATCCATGTGACTATCGTCCAAATTGCTTTCTTTTGTAGTGACACTGAACTTGGCTATAAAAGGCGGACTAGGTGACATTCAGGATGGACGTTAATGGAAACGCAGGATTGAAATGTAAATTGTTTTCAGAGGACTGGGAAGCAAACAAAAGTTACACCTTCACCTGTTCTGAGTGATGCGGAATTGTTTCCGTCCCCATCATCTGGACTCGGGAGTCTCCTGAAGTCAATAATACAAATCCCGGGAAGTAGTTTGTTAATCCAGACTAACTCCTCCATTGCGTTCTCTTTGATTGTTATTGTTCTTATGCTGTTTTGTGAACCTGTAGAAAGCAAGTGCTTTTTCATCTTGAAATCCAACGAAACGGAAAGAATATGCATAGAATAATGCATATATGTAGCCATGTCACTGTGAATAACAATTTTTGCGTATTAGCCATTTTGATTCTTATGTTGCATCTTTTACTTCTCTGTTGCTGCGCAGAACCGATCAAAAGAAAAGTAAACTTCAGTTTTACAATCTGTATGCCTAAAAGCGGGTATTACCATTTTATTTACTGACTTGTTTAAATGATTCGCTTTTGTAAGAATCAGATGGCATTATGCTTATTGTACAATGCCATATTGGTATATGACATAACAGGAAACAGTATTGTATGATATATTTATAAATACTATAAAGAAAATATTGTGTTTCATGCACTCATGATATGGTTGTTAAATTTCTAAACTGGTTCGACCCTTGCAGATGCCGCCTGTTTGAGCTTTGCTCATACTGCCAGAAACACTTTGTGTGTGAGAGCTACAGTATTGGGAAAGCACATTCGAGTCTCTGATAGCCTGGAGGCAATTGGCAATCTTAAAAGGAGTTTACTGGCTTTGTCTCTTTTTTTCCAAGTGATATATATTTTACTTTTGCAAATGTTGAAGTGATGCAGTGAAGGAAAAAAAAAAAAAAAGTTAAGGGACATGGAAGTCTTTGTCCTGTTTGATTATCTTTTTATTATTTGGTGTGGTGGGACTGTGTTTTTAAAAGCACACGGAATTGTTATAGAAGCCATAAACTATTTGGTATAAATTTTAAGAAACCAGCAAGTTGCTGGAAGAAGGCATTTTATCTAAATTTGGTTTAATATATATGTATATGGTACAGTACTAACTTCATTAAAATTTAACAGGTACTTTAATATTTCCAATAAATCATGGAGAATGCCTCCTCTTTAATGGCCTGCCAATAGGTGCATTTTATTAGAGGCTTCTAAAGGAATGATTTTTTTCAGTAGAAGGAACTTTTCCACCATAAAATATGAACAGCCCAGAACACTTTTCAGTTTGTGCTTTGCTTTGGTCGAACTTCGTGTGTGTTCATCACCCATCAGTTATACATTTGTGAGGGTGTTTATTCTATATGGATATTGTTTCATGTTTGTACGGGAAAATTGTAGTTAAACATTTCATTGTCTCCAGTCTGCAAAAGAAGCACAATCCTATTGCTTTGTCTTGCTTATAGTCATTAAATCATTACTTTTGCATATAAATTGCTGTTACTTGTCCTGCTTGTTTTTATAGACCAGGTGATTGCAAATCCTCCACAAGGTTATTGCTTATTGATGTATAATGTCTTGTTAAACAAGAGTTGATATTTTTTTCCTGTAGTAAACATGTACAGTTCGATTTCAACAGTAAAAACTTCAGTTTTATATACACGAATAACTTTCATTTATAGCTGATCAAAGAAATAAACAAATAAAAGGGATAATTCATTGAAAAATAGCGAATGACCTTTGTTGATAATGTGGTGTTAAAGGCCAGACATCTTGTTCTCATTGGAAGTCCTTCTGGGTGTGCAAAAGTTTTTAGTGTACAGAACAGTACAGTACCAAAAAAAAGAAAAAAAAGGGGGAGAAAAAAGGGAAAAAAAAGAAAAAAAGCCTAGATATCGCCATGATTTCTTTTGGTTGCCTGCCTCGAAAATATTTGCTGTTCTTTATTTGACTGAATTATTATTGAAAATAAGCAAATGGTGTATTCTCACGTCCCAGTCGGCCACAGATTTTACCCCCTGTCTGTTAAACTTAGCCCGTTAAACTGTTGTGGCTGGGAAGGGAAGAACAGGATTTTTGTGATGGTGAGTGCCAGGTTCTGCCTGTGCTGCTCTGGATTACTTTCTAAAGCCTCCGTGGAACTAAATACGTTCTAATGTAAAGATATCTCTCGATGCAACCGAGTGTCTATCTTGGCATGATCCTCTCAACTGCATGAGTTAATCACACTATACTGGTTGAATTCATCCAAAGACCAACGCTGACCCCGCAGCAGAGGGCTGTACTTCAGCACACTGATCAAATGGCTCTTATTTATACTGAAACTAGCTGATAATGACAATTTCCAGCATCATAAACGGAACTATTCTCGGTCTTTGTAGAGTGTTCGTGAAGCATAAAGCAATGAAACAGGAGTTGGATAATTCCCTGCGAGGTTTATTAAGCCCTTAACAGCGCTTTCGACATCTCCCAATTTGACATCTCCCGTCTGAAAGAAAGAACAAACGCTTTCAGTAGTTCTCTCGCCGAGCTGCAGAAGCCGTCGAGGATGTTTGTGCTGCCATGTGAAACTTTTGTTCTGCTGCTGGCCTTAGGCAGATGGCACTGCGATGCGTATATATTGCTAAGCACAACTGGGAGGACGATCAAAGATAGCATCTTGATGTCCTACTTGAGAAGCTGCTGTGTCAACCTCCCCGGTTTCACAAGATTTTTCTTTGCAGCGACGGAAGGAGCGGGTTTCCTTACAAAGGTATGGAAATCCTCCGCATTTGAGAAGGAAGAACCTTTTCATTATCCGACTTTGCATTTATATAGATGGAAGGATAAAGCCGAAGTCCACGGCGTTTTTCGGACCTTGTTGAACAAGCAATAATCTACCTTTGGGTGGAGGCAGAAGCGGTCGGTGCCAGTTGGAAAATTATGGTTTTCTGTCTTCGTCCGAGCAAATTTTCCGCCCTGGTTCATCTGCCTGCAGTTCCAAGTAGCACTTTTGTGCCCAGCCGGGATGGGGGATAGAGGGTCACGATCCAGCCCCGGGCGAAGCGAGGGAGAGGGAGCCTGAAGCGCTCCACAGGCTTCTGGGGAGGAGAGGCAGAAAAAGGGAGAAGGAACACAGAGTGTGCAGGAAGGGAAAGAAGAGGAGCATGACGAGGTTGCTAAGCCGAACTGTTTGTCCTACAGCACCGAGCATTGCCCTAAACAACCTGCGCCGTTGCCTTTCAGCAGCTGATGCCGGCGGGCGGGCACCGCCGAGGAACTCCCGAAAATCGGCACCGTCCCGGGGGCGGGAGAAGGGAGCGCGGGGCGGGTCCCGCCGCGGCACCGGGGCCCGGGCAGCCCGGAGGGAGCTGCGGGGAGCTCCAGTCCACTCAGAGGCCACGTTCTGCGATTTTCTGCTAGTGAAGGGGGGCACTGAAACCCGAAGGCTGAGGCAGAGCGAGCGGCAGGTCCTTCCAGCCGA